GTCCCGGAAGGACGCAAGATTGAGTCCATGCATATTGCAGAGCGCCACTAGGCACTGCTCTACAAGCGCACCTCGTAAGCGACGCACGGAAAATATTGGGTTAAACTGAATCCGAATTTAAATGCAAGTCATCCAACGGCGAGCAGCGATGGCGATGGATTGTATGATTCCCTAAGCATAAAGAGCATGGGAAACACAAGCATAACGGAGAAAATTTTGAAGTAGAAGTCACAGTTTTCGCACGAGAACCCAAGACAGCAACGCGTAAAACGCTTCAAACGTTTTTGATTAATTACAAAAGTCCAAAAATGAACAGCATGAAAGAGTGTCTCTTTATATCAGGTGTGACCTCGAACCATACCTCAGGTTGCTTCTATGACCTGCCTACCTTTCCCATATCAAACTCTGTGCGGCTGCTCTCCACCAATTAATTGAAATGCTCAGAAAGAATGAAACGGTGGGTGTTTAAAAGAAGCCGTTTATTATGCGAATGCAAATTTATTTGTTAAATCTTATCTGCTGGGGTTATAAAAGTGCTTGGCTGAATAGATCTCATTTCAATTTGATCTTTCTAGTCCTCATAGGAAGTGAAGGTGCCGAAACAGCTACTGTTGTATAGCACTAGATTTTGTGACACCAACTTTGCGCTTGCTTATCGAAGAAGAACATTAAATTATCAATCAATGCCAAGGTTGATAGAAAGCCGATCTTCGGAACCCTTGGAGATTGCTGTACAAATAGTTAATCTTAAGGACTGTCGGTCAGAATTCAGGGTTTTACTTGCAAATTTTTAATGAGTGGTGTTTTCTTACGTTTTCCTTATTTTGCAGTAGAGGAATATTCACCTGTCACCCGTCACCTGTCGTCCCGCTAATCGTTGAATGACTAAAGCTGTCATTCAACGATTCACTAAATCTTCCGTTTCTCTCTATCGCATCCATGGGTGGCCCAATGGGTTCTGCTCGCTCTAGGAATTGGTTGAGCATTGGTCGTACCTTTCCTCTAGGTTTTGTGAAAAACTCTGACCATCGGGTCGGTGGTCTTCCTGCAGTATGTTTGACGACTCGAAGAATAAAGTCACTAACGGCTGTTGTTCAACGGTCATCGTTAATAAGGTCTACGGGTTCGCCCGGATTGATTTTAGCCAGTTTGGCACATAGAACCGAACCATTGATTTTTGATCGTTGGCGCAGGTGGGAGCTTCGGATCCCTCTCCTCACCTTTGTAACGCGGGATACTCCTAGCATAGTCCTTTCTACTGCGTATTCATTGAAGCTGAGTGATCTTTCATTCTTCTTAAAATTTTGGGGTGGGAGGATGAATGAGGTACTTGAAATTTTTATACAGCTCACGTGACTTCTGACATCCAGGGCTTCTCTGACTGCTACTATCTCAACTGAGTCAAGAGCTCTCATCAAGTCAAGGCAATTAAGACATAACAATCTCTTTTACTCTCACAATACTTCATTAAGTCTTGTTATCGTGTGGATGTGGACATCGTACTGAATCCTTTTCAAAACGTGGTTTGCTCACATGGGTGTCCTTCGTACAGAGTTCTGCCAATACTGTTAAGGACGACTCGAGTGAAAAGTTTGTAGACAACAGACAGTAAGCAGATTGACTGGGCGATAGTTGCCGGTATCGTGTGTGTCACCGTTCTTAAACAATAACACGGTCTTGCTGGTCTTCCACTGAGTAGGGACTTTGCATTCAGACAAGTAACATGTGAAGAGCCGAGCCAGTGTGTTTATGAGGACCGGCGGAAATTTCTTCAGGTGTTCAGATCGTATCCTCTCTGGAGGTGGTGTTGTTCTATTGTTCACCGACGAAATGGCATGTCGGTTTTCCGAAGGGAGAACCGGTAGGACAACATATGCATCATCCTTTTTCATATGAGGAAAGAGTGACCTGGCTATTGAAGAGATCTGAGTAATAATTGTGAGTGATTTTTTTCCATTGCCTTTCTGGACGCTGTAACTATTCCGTGTAGGCAACGAACTGTAACCATTCCGGTTTTGTAATTGGCTAAGTTTCGGTGCGCTTTGCAATTGCTTTTCCCAGAATCTGCAGCTTCGACCATAATTGCTCCTCTTCTGTCTTTAAGATCACCACTTAACGCCTGTCCGCATTGTGTTCGAAATATTAGGTGAAAAAATCTCTACGAATTTTAGGACACCAGCAATAGTTCAACACGACTGCAAGTCTTTCCACTCTCTCGCATCGTCACAACTGACAATGCTTCGTGTTGTCCTGATCGCTAACGATGAATACATCGGCTTAACTTTGCAGGTGGTCATCTTTGAATTCTCTTCCATCGTCTAGTGATCCCGCTCCACTATGTTTTCCATCCACTCCACTTTTTTAGCATTGTCTCTAGCCTACTGCTTTCCAGCAATGCGATATATGTTGGGCCCCAAAAAGAGAAAGTTCCGAATAACGTCATCGTTCTTGCTGAAAACAACCTTTTAGTGACGTGCAAGTAGTAATTAGAGAAAACGACATGTTTAATTTTTTGAGCTCTGTTGGAAAAACTGTGCGGTCGAAAACATTGCAGCTCAGAGTTGCTTCAATCAACTACTCTACGAACTATTCCAAAACCTGAGAAGAAAACGTCAGCATCCTCATTACTTTCTATGTTCTCTTTAGCTTGATCTCGCCATTTAGGTCATTCAACATGTTGATTGATAGTTCTTAGCAAACCAAATATCTGTGGCCTCTGTGACTCCATTAATCTTTGCGCTGTTTGCTTCGCAAGTTTTCTCTAGATGAATTGTTTCACAGGCTGTTCATTACTTCGTAGGGAGTACTCTCTGTCCTGTCATATTGTCAGCATAACGTTCATTTCGCTATGAACACGATTTAAGCGTTTTCCATTGACGTGATTATTTTTTTGCTTCATTCAATTTTAGCGACCCGACTTCTCACCTCTCAAAAGATTGTCCCACTTGGTAGGTGTGAAGAATAGGAAGATCTGTTCGCTTCAGGCAGAAATTATTTTAGTGAAGTAGCCAATGCATAAGCGTTGCCTATTATCTCCCCGTTATCCGATTCAATAGAGTTACGTAATTATATGGTTCCGTACTCACGTGATCCGCGGTCATTGTCATTTCTTCTACCAATTTCGCTATCGTGACCGAGAGCCACAAACGTGGTTGGATGACCATGAGCATTCAGCCGCCACTTAAAAATGTATAACCCTTTTCCTCACTGACACGATGATTGCTAGCTTAAGATCGTTCTGTAGAGAATTTCTCTGCAAGGCGTCTCTCAACTTTCATTACAGGTGGCCCTCGTTGATAGGAGGAAACTGTGTGATTTTTCAAATAGACAGCATGCCGGTAATCACTTCATATAACCTTTCTTTGATAGGTCTGCACGAGGTTGATAAAGGATCTTTATCCGGGTCGTTGGTCCGCAGTTGTTCGCCTCCTCGATATGGCGTCTTACTCTTTAAAAAAATTTCATAGTTGATCGACGGTTCAGCGATGATGTAATGGGTTGGATCGAACTTCGTCTATCCAGATATTGGAGAATTAGATAAATTTTCCTGAAGGTTTTTGGAAACTACGTAGGCACCAGAGCCGAGTCAATTATTCGTTCTTGCAGCTCACATAACACAGTTTTTCGCTATTAACTCGTTTGGATAGATTTATGGTTAAAGGACTTTGAAGCCACCTCGGTCTATCTAATCTGTTCGCTGCTTTGATGTTTCAATATTTACGTAAAAGACCATAGGAAATTCAACCATGAATCTCGCTGCCTTCTTTGGTCCTTAGACGGGCATAAAAAGCTTTAAAAGGCGCGAAAAACAAATTTAAAAAAAGATTTATTGATGACATTAATAATGCCTTTGCTACTGATCCTTCCGACTACGTTTTAAGGGATTAGTATGGTATTCAGCAGTAGTATTCAGTATATTAGTATTCAGAGCGAACTTAGTATGTGAACCTTAATAAGGCTGAGCTATAGCTATTCCTAGTGACCTCCATGAGTTTGGATCGTTCCTTAAACGATAGGTTGATCTCTCATATTGCTGCAAAAATTGCACTATAATGACTTGCTTGGATACTTGTTTAACTTGTTTCTGTGGGTCTTGTGAAACCACAACATCACATCCCTAAAAGGCAACGAGAGTAGAACAGAGCATTTCTGAGGCATTTACACCAGCAGATAGGGGTGTATCATTGCGAGAACATATATTCTGTACTGTCAACTAAGGATACTTTAGCGGAAATTCCCACTCAGCAGCATTTTCAAAAAATGATCATCAGGCCATCAAAGACCGACTTTACGAACCCCGTCATTAATCAAATAAATCACTATACTCTTGATAAACAAACAAAAGCTATTTTATTTTTCATTCACCGAAAAGCTGACGTTTCGGCTAATTCCTCTTCTTCAGAGCCTGAAAAGGCCAGGTTGACTGCAATCTACACAACTAAACACCTCCATGACGAAACAAAGAAAATACTAAGGCAAGCTCTCAGTCACATTCGAAGCAAAATAACTTCTTCGCACACTCACCGCCTACTAAGAGACTTCTATTGAGTATTTCACATGAAGACCAACCGAACACAGTTCACACGGAAGCGTAATATGTCTCTCGCACATTAACATATCAACCTCTTAAACACTGTCACGATCACCAGTACCTACTTTTTTCCTGAAAAGCCATTAGTTTTGGATTTTACCTAAAATGAGAACATTTTAATCGGAGATAAAGTCTAAGCTTCATATGACTATTGAAAATTTCAATACTTTCTGTTTTAAGCTCATCAATATATAAATGGCCTTCCAAGACCATATCACAGCCGTTTCCCAGTTGTTTCCGCACATATTTTTGGTTTCAAAAAGAAAAGCGAACAACAAGATCCTTATTCCTAGCACATCTTCCTGCTTTTATATGAGCTTTTCATTACACTTTCTATCGCTATTCTCAACTTTGTTGTTGTTTAGCACCTTTCATTCTACGCACGTGCGCCAGCAAGAATTTGGGTTGCATGGCCGGACCGGCAATTTGCAAGTTCAGCGGCGGTTCGGGCTCGTGTGCCCGGTGCGAAACCGACAACTGCAACCAGTGAAAAACGACTGTATATGTTGTAAATGTGAACTTGTCCACTTGTTTTTGCTTACATAATTGATTAGGGTATCATTTCTTTTGTTATTATACGAAATCCATAAATAAAGTATCGATTAAAGAAGTCTTGCAAGGATATACCCAGTTCGTCTACATGGGTCAGTTAAGTCCCGTAGAAGCTGTCTATTTTTCAAAGAAAAAGGTGCTCTTGATCGTAAAAAAATCGCATGGTATTTCCCGTTAATGCTTGCTAACAAAATTGCTATCCGACTCAGGTGAAATAGGATTTTCCAAATCATACCAGAATAGACAAGTTGATTTTCTCAGTGTCATGAAGCGATAATTGGTCAAGAGCAGCCCTCGTAAATGACCTATTCTGCGCCACGCGCACTTCAGAGAACCGTGCAATTAACGCATTGTCTTTGGTTCGACTCTGACTAGAACCAACGAAGGCTTCGGTCGCTCTAAGATGGATAAATAGCATCCAAACTTTTGAGAAAATCTTTCGATCCACTGAATGATAAAAGGAACTTTACAAGGGAATTGCTAGAGCTCCTACAATATTTGGAATAAAAGGGGGCAAGGAATTAGGCTTTCAATATTGATCAATCCCTGGTGGATGAGCCATAAATTCGACTTCTTAAAGTATCGTAATGATAATTGAGTGCACATAGAGCCTATACAAATTGCAGTGGCTTGCAGATGTATTGAAACAGGGTTCTTATCTCATTCAGACAAGTCTACTACCAATTTTCAGACCAAGAAGGGATGGTTGGGTCAAGGGAGCAGGAAAGAAAAAAATTGTTTGTGCGCTGAACACCTCTTGGTACATTCTTTTGCCTTTAACTAAATATCACGAGTTAAAGCCCTTTTTGTTGATGTGGTAAAAACTCTGATAAAGGTTGGAAATTAGTGAATGAACACATTTATGAACAGTTCCTCAACCATCCATCGCTTATAATAGACACCGAAGAACTCTACAATCGTTAGTTTGCCTTCCAGGTTTGCCCTGTTGCAGCTCGTATTTTTCATATAAACTCTAGTGGGTAGACCGGCCTACTACGCTGGTCTTCGAATCGTGGTAAAGCTTGATACTTGAAATTTGGGTAATTAAGCTTTAAATGCAACGATATTTATACCAATGGTGATATCGGACTACGTAGGTGTAAAATACTTTTTAAAAAAGTTGAAAGATGACACATTTAGGAAATAGAAGTGATATAAAAAGCAAGAAAGTGCATATAAAGTGCAAAGGTTAAAATGAAGAGGTTGGAGGGATACCAAACAGTTTTGTTGAGTGTTCCCATCCTAGGTAAGGATAATTGAGGAGAACACAAGGCAGAAGTTAATTTACTAAGGTAGTAGATGACAATAGCGACAACGCAGCCATATGTAGAAAGTATGGAACACATATGAGACCACTGAAAGCTGGAGAACATTCTACAATCATAGAGAACACTCTCTGTTTTCCCCAGCAGCGCTGAAGGTGTAATGCTGCGTATTGCGCAAGAACCCTTTTAATATGGTTAGACGAAGACTATCCTCTATGAGGCAAACGATATCTATATAGAGATCTTCATGATAATGTCAAAAGGTCTATGATCCTCTTGTTGAGCACTTGACATCGCTTGGGGTTCTATTCCAATCGGCTCCTGTCCAGCGATAGCTGTAGGAATCCTTACGTTTTCATCTGATTTCAGTAACGATGGATCTGAACTCCTCGCTACTCAATAAGATGGAATTACCCTGCATTTTTTGCGTGATTCGTGATCCATCTGTCGCACGGATTCCAGCACTTCTTAGAATCGATTCCTTTCCCACGCATTCACTGCCCACAAAAGTCTTCGAACAGTTGTGTTCTTTATAATGCTGCTTAAGGATTTTATCTCTTTTAATGCCGTAGATTGCAGGTCGAGACTATTCTCATTGTATATTTATTTATGTGTTCTTATAAACTGATCTTCTTAAGCTGACGCGAGGTTGGTACAGATCCTCGTTGTCGTTGTCGTTGTTTTTGATGTTATTGATCGATGGCTGACGTTTCGGCGACTTCGCCTTCCTCAGAGCCTGGACGTACTTTATGCTAGGATACTTTTTATTACTCGATGGAAAAGAAGGTTAAAGTATTAATGAGGATCAAACTTTCAAATAGACGCCATATTGGTGCGGGACTGGCCCACACATAGTTCACGTGGAGTCGCGAGCAAGACACGCCTAGGGGTGAAGATATCATTTTGAAATAGGGCGCCAGGTCACGCGCGATAGTGAGGCATTCGTCCTTCCGGTTCATCTTTGGATTTTTGAAATTTATCCAAAACGCCTCGAGAGTTTTGCGCGTTAATGTTTTTGATTCCTGCGCCAGGATGAGGAAGGCGAAGTCGCCGGAACGTCAGCCATCGATCAATAACATCAAAAACAACGACAATGACAACGAAGATCTGTACCAACCTCGCGTCAGCTTAAGAAGATCAGTTTATAGATCACATAAATAAATATATCAACTATCTATGCCGAGTGATTTTCTTCGTATTTTTGTTGAGGAAACGCGAGGTGTTACTATTCTTTGTTCACGATTAAGCTGACGTTTCGGCGGATTTCGCCTTCTTCAGAGCCTGGAAAGGTCAAGTTGATAGCAACTCACTCGGCCAGACGCCTCCATAACCAAACAAAGAAACTCCAAACCAAGATTTCAATCACTTTGAACACAGCTTTGCACACTCACCGCTTCCTATGAGGTTTCCACTAAATATGTCACGTAGAGACCAACCGCACAGAAATCACGTGGAAGTATAATGTGCCCCTCACATCAGAAAAGCAGTTTTATATACTGCCCTATATCACGCGTGATAATGAGGCATTCTTCCCTGCGTTTTTTTGTTGTTTTCTGATGTGAGGGGCACATTACACTTCCACGTGATT